GTTTTGTCACAATAATCTTGGACCGATTTTTGTATTTAGATGTATAATCTCAGTGTCATTAAAATGTATTAAAATTTTACAGGAACATATATAAAACGGTATTGTGGTGCACGATTTTGTGCTTTAAGGGTCTTATTTCGCTGGACATTATCAACAATATTTTTAAAACGTTGTAACACACGTTATACTTGACGTAGATTTCCTTGAAAAGGAGTAAATTCTAAAATAATACAATGGAGACTTTGTTAGTGGTTGTTTCTCTGGGGATGAAATTGCTACAAGGAGCAATACAAGGGAAATAAAGATGATTTTACGTTTCGAAAGTGACCGCTCTGTTCTTTATCAAGCGTTACGATGACGCTACCCTAACCACTAAAAAAATGTGTAGAACACAACTTTTAACTAATTAAATAAATGTAACTCAGCTTTTAGTTTCAATAAAAATTCTTGAATTTATCTTTATTTTTTCCCTTTTATGGGTTCTTATATCTGGAAGACCACACCATAAACTTTGGCTCATAGTAAAAGTTAACACAGACCTACTTATGTTTTTATCTAATTTCAAGTTTCGTTTAACATAACTTTCGCGGAAGATTTTTTTTTGTACGAAAATTTTTTGTCATAGTTTCGAAAATTGAAAAATTTAATTTGTTTGTGTTAAATGAGTCTAGGAAATAATACCGATGATGTTATGGTACTTTAGTTTTAAGAGGAAAGAATGTGTGCCAGTGACATCGTCCAAAACATTATCTTCTAGTTTTTAGATATTGTATGTCGTAATATATACACACTTTAGCCTACTGGCGTCAGATAAACAAGAAACAGAGGTCAGACTGTTTAATAATAAAGAGGGCAATGTTGATTCCTTATCGCCACATATTTGTCTCATCAACATATTAATACTTGTTTGTTAAGGACAAAAACAATGCGTAATATCTGCAGTACAAACCTATATAAAATGTACCAAATGAATGGCAAATTGAACTTAGGTTTAACAACAAATTCATAAACAATAAAAAAATATTTTGAGTGGTCGCGAAACGCAGCTCAAAGGAAATCCATAGATCCATCCATCTTAGAATACAAAAATTCAGTAACCACGTTTCATTCTCTCTTCTGTCTTTGGGAATATTTGTGAAACTGTTTGCTTGAAATGCATATCCTTATCATCGCTATCTCAATGAAAAAATTGCTGACTTTATTTTAACATTCTTTTTAACAAATTTGACTGAAAACGTCTAGCGTGACATGTTTCTTTATTCCGGTCTTAATAAACCGCCCCTATTTTCTAACTTTACGTATACGGGTCATACTTAGAATCATGAGAGAGTAAACTTTCTCAATCTAATTTTAAAACTCTTCTAAGAAACTGCATAATGAATCTCTTTTCGTAAACACTAGCACTGATTTGGTGATTACACAATACAACTAAATTTCGTTATATCTTCCCCCAGTTTGTTACCCAAAAATATATATATATATATATTAACGAGTACCAATTTTTTTCGTTACACAAATTTTACAACACGAAACTACAGGTTGTTCTGTTTCGTTTCGTTTATAAACCTCTTAAGAAGTGATTATGTTATTTGAATTTCATCTAGTAAATGAGCTTGTTTTTCTTCTTTACCACAATAATAAACTCAAAAACGTAGGTACGTTGACGGTTGAGGGTTATTTTGACAGAACTTCTTTTGGCCTTAAAATATAGTCCGATAATCCCGCTTCTTAAAAAAAATATATAATTTGATTTTGCGATTTAGGTTTTTTGGTAACCTCTATAAAGTAGGTAAACGGGAAAAATATAGATATTTTCAATTTTTCAATACATGCTTAACTTCAGCTGTTTATGTTCACACTTTGAAAGTATTCCACGATTAACACGTTCAGATGACAAGCATCAGCGGTTAAAAGAAAATTAAATTTGATTGATTTTGTCTTCGAAGAGGAGATACTGATTAATTAATTAACCACACTTAGTTTTTTTTCGCAAAAACTCTCATAAACCTGAATAAAGATTCGATAAAATTGTAAGATGACGGAGAAATTTTGATTAATGATTTATCATGTTTCCAATAACCTTAAAATGTTTGCAAGATTTCACAGCATTCCGGTTTTTAATTTCAAAATTAAATTGAAAAATATTGATATACAATTTTGATGATTTTTATCCAAAAAAATATAGATGACAAGGGTAAAAACATTTACACAAAATCATAAATTACACATTTATTCGGCTAATTGTAACATGTCGTCATCATAAACAAATAAAATTTGATAATGATTTATCATGGTTCCTATAACGTAAAAACGTTTGCAAAATTTCAGAGAATTCATAAAATTAAGAGTTTTTTTTCTAAAAATCTAGAGAACAAGGTAAAAACTCAACACGAATTCTTAAATCACACATGCAGGAAGGAACATGTAATTCTATAAAATTGAAAGAAAATGTATTAGGCAAAATAATAGAATGATGTCATCACTTTTTCGTGGGGTATAAACGAAAAAATTTTGACTAACGATTTACAATACTTCCCTTAAAACGTTTGCAGATTTCAGGTGTTTAACCTAAAAATTCAACACGGAGTAATAAGCCACATATGCCGGAGTCTTATTGTATGAAATTTAAATAATATTTACTAATGCAAATTTTGGAGGTGACGTCATCTTATTGTTGGTGGGGATGATTATTCATATTTTAGTTAGCGTTTTACCACCCACACGATATTCTTAATACACATACAAAATTTATAACAATCGACGACAGACAGACAGGCAGACGGGCGGAAACGGGCAACTATATTTTCGTACGTTCGGGGTCATGAAACGTCGAAAAAAGATAAAAGTAGCCAATCGGACTCGAATACTTTTTTAGCTTACGAGAAATTATGATAGAATTTTATAAAATTAGATAGGGCGGGTGGGCGGACTTTAAAGTTAATTTTTTCTTAATATACGCAGTCATCTTGTCACAACAAGAAACTTAAAGCATGTCTAAAATTCTCTTCTGGTAATTAATACATTTAGATTTATTTGTATAACACGATTAGTTAAGAACATATTTCACATGATAATTTCTCACATAAAAATAAGAACTTTATAATTAAGTTCCGCCTCTCGGCTTACGACGATTAAAAAAAATCGTCAGAATTGAGACAAGGTGGGTGGGCGGGGTTTATAATTTGCCATTTTTTTCTTAATATACATAGCCATCTTTTCACAACAAGAAGGTTAAAATGGTACATTTTTGCAAGGAAATATGGATTTTGCATCTACGGGGAGGAACCTAATTGCAAAATCAATATTTCCTTATACAAATTTTCTATTTTAAACATGTTTTAAGTTTCTTGTTGTGAAAATAAGTCTACACATATTAAAACAACAAGGCAAAATGTAAACCCGCCCACCCGCCCTGTCTCAATTGTGATGATTTTTTTTATTCGCCGTAAACCAAGGAGGCGGAGCTTAACTGCAAAATACTTATTTCTTAACAAGAAATTAAAACAGGTTTTTGAGTATCGTGTTGTTCAAAGAATACTACGTACATTAAGAAACAAGGGCAAAATATAAACCCCGCCCACCCACCCAATCTCAATTGTAATGATTTTTTTATTCTTAGAAACTTAAAACACGTTTAAAATGGTAAATTCCGCTCCTTTGGCTCTCGACGATTTAAAAAAAAAATCATCACAACTGAGATAGGGTGGGTGGGCGGGGTTTATAATTTGCCTTTTTTCTTAATATACGTAGTCATCTTGTCACAACAAGAAACTTAAAGCATGTTTAAAATGGTAAATTTGTGTAGGGAATATGGATTTTGCAATTACGCTCCGCCCCTCGATCTGACAACGAATGAAAAATTCGTCACGACTGAGATTGAGAGGGATGGGTGGGGCTTCTCTTCTGGTTTTCTTGTTTAATTAATACATTTAGATTTCTTTGTATAACACGATTAGTTAAGAACATATTTCAGATGATAATTTTTCATAGAAAAATAAGAATTTTATAATTAAGTTCTGCCTCTCGGCTTACGACGAATAAAAAAAATCGTCAGAATTGAGACAGGGCGGGTGGGCGGGGTTTATATTTTGCCATTTTTTTATTAAAATACATAGCCATTTTTTCACAACAAGAAGGTTAAAATGGCACATTTTTGCAAGGAAATATGGATTTTGCATCTATGGGGAGGAACCTAATTGCAAAATCGATATTTCCTTATACAAATTTTCCAATTTAAACATGTTTTAAGTTTCTTCTTGTGAAAATAAGTCTATACATATTAAAACAAAACAAGGCAAAATGTAACTATAACTACTAACTATAGTTACTGATTAGGCAATTAACTGCATAATATTTTTTTGAACTAATCTTTTCCTGAACAATTAGTGGCGTTATTAAAAAAAAAAAATTGTAGATAAATCTTTGCAGAAATCTGTGTCCTGAAATTGTATTTGTTTTATAGTAGTGGGCTTATATTTTTATAGTCCATTACCTAAGCCAACAAAAAATAAGTGTGTTTGTAATTGGCGTTATATTGTCCTTAAAGAAGCACATATATCTAGTACCACCAAAGAAATAACGACGCCATCGTAGCAAAAATTGGTATTGCTTGTACTTCAGTAATGTGTTTTTATTTTTTAAAACTGCTTAAAAAAATGAATGCACGATCTGATTTATTTTATCGATGTTCCGAGAAACGGCTGATCTAATTCTAATTTCCTTGAACTTCAGGAGACATAGCTACGTGATTGATGATTCCATTTTAAAAAGTGACTTAGTAAACCTTGTTGCAAATGTGTGATTGACACTGGGATTTAATATTCTACCGCTACCTTTTTGATTTTACTAATTGCTTTTATCGAAGGAAATTTTGTAGAGAATATTCCTAATGTAATTTTTGTTCAAATTCAAATATAATAATAATAATGGCTGTTTTCCAATTTTACGTTGTACTAGTATTTTAAGTACTTATTTACTTATTTAAGGAAATAAAAAAAATCTTTAAAATATGCGAAACTTTTAATTTTTGGTTACCTTAATCACATTTGTTTGTTTTAATTTCTAAAACTTGTCATATATATACCAACATTTTTTGAGTGAACGCAGGCACATCCTGAAATGAAAAAGTTTGGGATTTTCCGGTGAGCGGAGCAAGCTGTATGCCCTTTCTCGAATGGTGGCACAATCTATCCTCAAGGGTTCTCAGAACGCTGCATGTGGGACACATAAAATCTAAAACATAAACCATGCATTATATATATGTTACACAAAGTTTAAAATTGTCGAAATAGCTCAAACCCAAACCTTTTAACGAGATTTTTTAACGTAATTGATGTCTCGTTATAATAAATTTTTTTAATTAATTTTTTGCTCCAAAGTTAGGTCACAATATCTTCTTGAAAGTTCCAGCTTCTGCCATTTCTTGCCACGTAATATTCCCTCCAAGTTGGCCGTTTTTTCTTACTTTTTGATCTTCCTCGATCTTATGAAATTCGCGACTTGCTAATTCCTCGTCGAAGGTGCAACTTAATTCGCAACCAGTTCAACCATCAGTTAAACACTGGCGAGCTTATCAAAAAAAATCAGGTAAAAAATAGATAATCTGCGCGTTATTCTTTATTCCCATTGGGCGAGGTGCGCTTTCTCCGCCAATCCAAACGCGGGCCGATCTCCGGAGAGACTCCGGGCGCACAATTCCAAACCGACTCCGACAGTTTGCGACCGACCACTGTCTGCAAGGGGTGTTCTCAGCAGATGTTCTGAACACACTTTCACGCGACTGTAATGCTCATTCGGAACACCAACGGCATTTATGACGGGCTCGTTCGGCGTCGCTTGTCGACATTTGACTTGAACTAGTTTGTTTATCCTGAAATATGTGTTGCTGACTCAACAAGAAGATGCATGCCACAACGTGCTTCGTTCTTCTTGTCACCTCCTTCTTGTATGGTACGTGAGTTTTTTGCAAATCGCTATGTTTAGGCTAACGGCGTTCCATCAACTCGCCGCGTTTGTCAAAATTCAAACAAAAGACTTTTCTCGATTGAATTTAAATTGTTGCACTGGCTGCAAGAATTCCTCTGGATCGACAAACTTTGCAGCCACTTAACATTCAGTAATTTACTTTATTGCGGTATTATGGTCGCTAATTATTGAAATTTAAACAATCAACCTTGCCGGTTTAGCAAAATTTTAAACAAATATATGCGGCACGCAATCAAATTAACTTAGAAAACTTTACCACTTTTCGAGCGATGAATAAATTTCTACATCTTTCTATCGAAGACGAGGCAATTTTAGTATCTTTGTGTGTACTATTTATTGTAAAGGACGTCTTTTATCGGTACGCTGGACCATGAGAAGCTATAAGCGATTTATTATGTTCTATTTTTGGTTTTTCCTTTCACGGACCCAATCAAGTAATGCACTTTTCTGCTGTTTACGCGTATTTTATTCAACAAATTGCTTATTGATTGTAGAAATGTAGTGGTCTGAAATGTCTTTGCGTCGGAACACGACAGAATTAAAAATTCGAATGAATAAAAGATGAGCACTTGTAGTAATGCTGAAGTGTGTTTAATAGGTGGAACGATACAATGTCCTTAGTGTATTTTTCGTGTTCTTCGTATTTATGTTCGTATGCTGTTTTATGTAGTCACACAAAATGTTGATCTAATTTTATTGCTTGTATTATATCATGTGTCGTGTTTTTGTTGTGAGGGGGAATTTTGTAAATACATTCCTGGCCGATTTGGATTTCGTGAGATAAAAACGATTATTCTAATTTTGTTTATTAACATTTCTGTTTAAAACTGAGCTAGCTTTATTAACTTGCTGCTGGCGAGTTAAAATAGTGGTAATACGATAATTTTAATTCATCACTTTAACTAATTGTTTTTTTTTAATTTGTAAGAAGTAGCTGTCTTACAAATTAAAATTTATTTGCAAAAATTAAGTTTCAATTAGCATTATTTTTTAATTTGTAAGAACGAAATGTATGAGGCAATTGAAGCGTGATTTATAACTGCTCGTTCTCTAAGAGTCGAAAAGACTTTTTGGGTCTTGCATGTCTGAATTATTGCAGTATTTTTTCTTAATTGTAAAGTAGTTTTAATTTATGGTCGCAGATATTTCTGGAAACAATTATTTGAAAGACGTATGTGTTTTTTATTCGTGGTGGTAGCGCAGTAATTACTTTGTCACTGCAGACATAAATTAACTATTTTCTGTAGTAAAAATAATGTATTTGTACTACATATTTTAATAACGGTTACTTATAACTCATTGAAATTTATTTTGAATAATATCGTTAAGTTAATGACTGTTTCGTTTTCAAATAATGTTTTTGACGGTTATTAACATTGTTTTAGTTTCACACTGCAGAACAAAGAATTTAATGACAGGTGTGTATGCAATGGTATTTTATTTTATAGCAGTGTTAATTATGGTGGAGGCGCCAGGATAGCGTAACGTAAGAATATTGCGACAAATTTGTGACAAGTTCCGTTAATTACAGTATTGCATTTTAAACTCTACTAATTCAAAATTCTCCCAAAGTAAGGTATATTTTACCTGAATTGGTCTATAAATATATTAAGAGGTACTTATAGTGTTATTCTATAAATAAATTTCGTTGAATCCATTTTACCAATATAAGATATCACTTATAAACTATTGTTTGTTTATTTATATGGCGAGTAAACTTGTCATTATTTAATTAAAATCTTTAAAATCTGACAATTTCACAATTCAAATGTGTGATGGTTCGCTGCGATCAAATCTGTGAATGTAATGTAATAATCTACATATAATTATCAACTAAATATAAAAGCAAAGTAGATGACACTTTATCAAGTGGAATTTGGAAGTTTATTGAATAAATAAAAAAGATTTATTTTGTGTTGTTGAAACTCGCCTTAATGTACGTTATTGATGCATATCATTTAATTCAAGCACTTAACCTAAAATATTCCAAATTAAAATGGAACCGAATAATGCGGGCATTAGATAAAATTCTTGTTTGTTCAAATTACATCGGTCGAGAATTTGTAGTGAATTAACTGTAGACACGAATGTTTTAATTACTTATTAGAGATTAAAAGGTTAGTTGGAGGGGCAAAATATTGATAGTTACGAATAGATATATTTGAATCATAGGTAAGTATGAATTATTAAAAATGTTATAATATAAAAAGAACAATGGAAAACGGTAAAGTGGCAACTTTCTAGTGATGTTTAGAAAGCTTTATTGGAATTATGTTTTTCGTGAGTTGAAAATATTGATTTCGATATGCTAAATATTATCATTTTATAGAAATAACAAGAGTTGCGTCTCACGTAAATGAAATAAATCGATTCATATATTCAAAAATATTTTCTAATTTTTCAATATCTTATAAGTCGTGGATAAAGTAATGTCGTCTCGAGATGACGTCATGGATAGTTTGAACAAATTTTGGTCAAAATAATCGATTTAAAAGTTTTGGAGATTGTCCGTGTAATAATATTACCACGAGACCGACGACAAATAAGAAATTATGAAACGTGCTTGGAAATTCAAAAAAACATGAAGGTAGAGATTTGCCAAGTTGACTTTATTACAATATTTTTCATAGCCGTTACTCCACAGGTAATGAGTAGATTACTAATGTCCTATAATATTTGTAATAAAGAAATAATTTTTAGTTCCTCAGTCAAATGTGTCACGTTTCTTCTTAATGAAAGAGGATTATAAAACTTGGTGCACTTGTTACACTGATGAAATAGTACCTAGAAATATTAGTCTTTAGATGTTTTAATTATGCTAAACTTCAAGGCAAAACTCGACATTTCATGTCAAACTCGCTAGTTTCCGAGCATAGAAGATGGCGTCAGTGGAGTTTTTAAATAGTGTTCTAAATTGTTTTCCGTTACAGGAACATAAGAGCATAAGTTTTTAATTATCCTAAATTTTATCTCCACTTTTGTATACTGTTTCATTATTTAATATATTATATCTAATTTTAATTTAAAATATTTTTTATATTAAATTTGAATTGTTCTTGTTGGAAAATAAAGCACTATTATTATTAGTCGATTTTTGTAGACAGATAATCTCCGAAACTACTGGACCGGTTGTTGTCAAATTTTCAGATTGACATGAAGCTACTTAAATTTGTTTGAATGTTTGACTTCAAGTGCGAAAGAAGTTGTGTCTAAATATCTTTGGGCCAATTTTTTTAGCTTAAATCTTAATACTTTAATTAATCTTCGTTGAAAAATATGTGCTTCAATGGATATAGTAATATGGTTCATTTTTAGAGTGACTATGCAGAGAAAATAAGGTTTATTATTTTACCGAATGTTGGTTGGTTATTTTCCCTTATATTCTAGACACAAAATAACTCTATGATTAGTGTTACGATGTATATATTAAATTTATTTTATTAGTTGATGTTGTCATATTAAATAATATGTCAACAAATTTCCCTTACATTAGTTCTTAATTTTAACGAATAATGAAAGCAAAACCGATTAATATGTTATTTACGATGAAGTAATTAACTAACAAAATAGTTTTTACTTTCCGAGCGTAAGCTGACCCCGAACAGTAGGAAACAATAGGTCCCCTGTTTTCGTCTGTCTGTCATCAACCGTCTGCCGTGTGTGTAGATTTTTATTAGACATATAATCTCCGAAAATCTCGGACCCATTGTTGACGAATTTTACTTGTGTAGATGGTAAAACGGCAACCAAAATTTCTCTAATCAGCGCCACCGACAATGTGATGACGTCACTTGAAATTGTTTAATGGTAAATATTATTTAAATTTTATAAAATAACGTACTCCTACAGTTGAGGTTTATGAATTTTAAATTTTTTTAAATAACAAAAATAATGATTCGTCTCCCTAAAAAATTGATGACGTCATCTCAAAATTTTTCCTAGTAAATTCAATCTAATTAACGCATTTATATTGTTTACAGTTGTTTTTCCCAAAAATTTGAGAAAACAATACTGTTATTGTTAGTATAACACTACAGCTATTCAAATTGATATACACATAACTTTATTTTAACTTACCTATATATTTTCACATGTTTTCGACTGTACTTCAGGGACGAGAAAAGTTTTGCCTGCATAACCTCAGACTAATTTTTAAAATTTTTTATGATACTTTGTTTTCCTAGCAAATATCTTTCTCTTTACCAATAATTGAAAATATCGGTAGAATTATTAACAATTATTAAAAAAATATTTTGAAAAGTGTACCCTGATAACTTCTGGTGCTGAGGGTTTTTTTATGAATATTTATGAAAAAAGTCTTTCAATTGGCACTTGATTTTTAACTGTCTCCTATTGAGAGTGTTAGATGACGAAAAAGGCACTTTCAACACCAACTTGGGGACATGAGGATTTTTTTTATCGCACCTTATAAAAGCCATAATTCAAATAACAAGACTCAAAGAAGAAGTAGAATTTTTTAATGCTATATCACTTCTTGGAAAAATATTTTTAACGACCTGTAATGATTTTGTACCTAGGTTACCGGTTCGTTAAAAAACTTCATTAAATAAAAATAGTAGTTCATATTTTAATATAAATACATTTGTTTATATATTTTGTGATACATTTTTAACACAATATAAAACAAAGAATTTTTTTTGCAAAAAATGTTTCATTGAAAAATGTATTAGGTAATTATCCGTAATCGTTTATTTCAGTGTCGTGGTAGGTTGGAATGCAATTATTTTATTGAAAGATATATTATGTATGCAACAGTAGCACAGCTCATCGTTGTTTGTTGATTATTCAACCGTTTGTATATATAGAACTGTTTTACAGTCGATTTATTTTCTAATTAACAGAATGCAATCAAGTTTTTAGTATAAATTTAGACCGATGCAAAATCTTTAATTTTTTCCACCACAAATTCGAAAGGGACTAATATAAGTACAACATCGAAAAGG